TTCCCCGACACCCTTGCAGAAGAACTCCGCGGCGATATCCACGAATTCTCCATCAAAGCAAAGAAAGACAGAGACCCCGAAGCACCGCGTCCGATCAAGATTGCAAAGCACTCCGAACAGGGTGTGGTTGCGCGAGAAATTGCAAAGCAACAGCACCGAGCGGCGCAGGCAATGAAGACGCCCATGCAACTGAGGTGGGAGCTTGAGCACCAGAAGAAGGTGCAAAGCCAGAAGGAGAAGCCGCTTGTGGACCAGGAGAGCTTGCTGGCGGCATTGGGTCAGCACATGCAGAAGAGTGCTACGAAGCCGTATCTGGGCAAGAAGCAGATTCCCAGTCAAACAGCCGACCTCGACTAGGGTGACTGAGACGATGGCATGATAATGTATCACGCCTGTGACACGAGACTTGTAGCATACCTTTTGTATATATAGCATGGATCGAAGCCGAAAACTTAGCTAGGCTTTCTGTGGCCTGTGGGGTATCTTCGCTGTAAATGTACATCAAACGCCTGCATTATGCATACCATGATCTTTTGAACCTTTCCCATGAATTCGTCCTTGAGCTCATACCAGAATGCCCCAGTATTCCGCTCGTCCTCCTGCGCCCTCCAACTCCTCCCATTGCACCAGGAAGCGATCCACGACCTTTAGCAGCAACTTCCCACTCAGACTCAGTGTCTTGACTCGTGCGAAACTCTCCACGTATACCGTCTTACACTTGCCTCTGCTGTTCGCTCCCTTGATGTTGAAGAAGCGCAGTATGAGGCTTGCGAGGATAAGGATTACAGCCGTGGCTGGGCCGTTGGTGATGATGAGATCTGGGAGGTCGGCAGCTGCGGCTTCGTATGGTGTTGTAGGAGCTTGGCCGGCCAGAAGTGGTGGTGCGCCGAGGAGAGGTGTGAAGGAAGATAGGAGGGTGTAAAGTGAGGTGAAAGGCGTTGTGAGGAGCGGTTGGTGTATCTTGCGCGCGCGCGGGATGACGGCGATGTTGTAGTGGTCTGGGCCAGTGCATGTTGGTCTCTCTGCCTTCTTCTCTTCTAGAGCATGCGTTGCGCCGTCCGCATCTGTAATCTCCATCACTGGTCTTCTTCCCGTGCCGTCTGGTTGTACCGCCTCTTTCTCCGATTCTTGCTTTCGCAGCCGCTCCTTCTTCCCATCTTCGAGTCCTCGCTCAAACTCCGCGGCGCGTTGTGCTGAGAACGCGTCTCCGCTGCTGACCACGTACGTCCTATGTGTGTATTTCCGTGTGTCCAGATCGCGCAGTAGGTAGAACATCTCGTGTGTATGTCCGCCCGATCCAAGAACGACGAGGATACGTGTTGCGAGCGGGCGCTTGCGCAGTGGTGTGGACTTTGAGCGCGCATTTGGAAGGATGGCAAGTAGACGCAGTGTTGCTGCGACAAGCAGCGTAGCGAGGGTCGCGATCGCGAAGGAGAGCGTGTAGAGTGAGGACGGCGGGGGCGCCATGGTGGGGTTGTCGCGAAGGATGAAGGTCAGGTCGGGGTGAGTTATTCCCTGGTCGAATGTGCCAAGCTGAGGAACGATGAGATAATGTGTCTCAAATTGAGCGCAAAAGCATCGTTGTCGTGGCTGTAAACTTCACCAGGTGAAGGTACGTGTCGCAGCAATTGGCCAATCGTGGGGACCTCGGAGACGCGAAATCACATGCTTCAGACTTGGCGTCAGCGCAAGTCGTCCCACACTATCCACGTCTACTTCCACATCCTCCCCCACATGGTAAGTTCATCATAACTGCGAACCACGGTAGCGCAAACATTCACATTCACTCGTTCAAGTTCCGCAGATCAACGACCTGAGGATGCGTAGACACCTTCAACATCGGGCATGTCGAGAAACGTGATGCAAGCAGACTTGCTGCTAGAACATCAATTATCGTCTCTCCCTTTTTGGAATCCCAAGAAGCTTTCCCAAAGAGCAGAACATATGAAGCATGGAAAGAGGTTTTTGGAAAAAAGACACGCAATGCCCCTCTTGTCGTTTTGGACGATGAAAGCTCAAGTATGGTCTTGAAAAGGTCAGGGTAGAAGAAGAAAGAATAATTTATACCCATGTAGTCATAACATCAAATGTTGAGATGGCTGTTCCAGGAGGAAGCATCTATGTGTTAGTACCATCAATTCAGAGGACGAGAATTCCCTGGGACGAGGCGGTGTTGTTTTGGATATCTTGCTATCTGCACCTTCCCACAGAAACCAATCACATAGACTATCTAAGCCATTGTGCTGAACAAGCGCACATCAGTCTCACAGAGACAGTTTTTCGGTTTAGTAAACAGCTCGATGCTTGAACGCAACCTTGCTACTCACACCATGGAGTGAAATGACATCGTTTTCGATTCATCATGCTTCTCACGATGTTTTGCGGGAGAAGAAAGAGACAAACATAGGTAGGCTTGCATGTACCGACAGTTCATTTGACTAATAACCAGTGCTTTTTGGCCATGCTATCACACGGCGACTGTTGATGCGATCTTTAAAACACCTCCGGCCATCACGGCTACGATGCCCGTTTTTGGATACAGAAGAAGGTTTTGCCAACTTAGAGTTCGTTCCGAAGTCCTCCATACACGCATCTTTATACCCTCTTACTTTCTCGCCTTTCTAGATTGAGTTGCTGACATTCACATAGAGTGTGCTTGCAATTCTTTTCGCAGCCCAGCAGGAAGGCAAAGGTTTCATCTCGTGGATGCTTCTGAACATTGACTATATCCGTAAGGACGAAGTGCTCGTCCAGCTACATGTCCCGGTTGTAGATCTATTTTGTTTCGGAAAACCATTTTCTCGCAAGTAGCAAAAGTAGAGCAGACATGGCATGTCTGCTTCTGCTTTTTCGGGAATGCACAGCATGTGGATCGGGTCTTCAGTTTCGAAAACGGGCTGATTGGAATAGAGGATGATTAGAGCTCTGGACCGAGAAGATGGGTATATATATATATATATCACTAGCGATCCCAAACTAGCTAAAGCGACAAGGTACGCATATCAAAAATCTACTCCAGTCTATATAACTTTGTGAAATATGAAGAAAACGCCATCCATCGAGAATTCATGTGTAAACACATACCGAACTCCGCTGCGACCAACCCCGAATGATTCAAACCAAAATTTTGCGCGCTTTCGCCGTTACCTTCCACTCCCATTTGCAAGGATATCTTCCCAAACCGGCCAAAAAGCATTCCCACCCGGTTCATCCATCTGCCAAATCAAACTCGGATTCCGCCTCATGACGCCCTCATACTCTCTTTTCAACTCCACCAGCCTCTCACTCAAAATCCTCATCTCAGTTACCACAAGCCTTAGCTCCTTGCCCTCGACAGTCGCAGGCGATATTTCGCCCTTCAGATCCGACAACGGGCCAATGAGACGAGTGAGCGTAGGCGGTAGGCTGTACCGAAAAGAAGCTTCGACCCAGGCAGTGACCGCAATACGAGAAGCTAGAAAGGCGCTCAATGTGGGTAGGTAGGCGAGTGTATCTGCTGAGGAGGTTGTGGTATGGTGTGAAGTTGACGATAGAGCACGGCTTAGATGGATGGGCCAGCAGAGCGCTGCATACCGTAGGAAAGGCAAATGGGTATCGAAAGGCACGGTGCGGATACTATTCGCCCTCAAGCTGTTGTGTTGATTTGGTATTGTTGGTATCGCATGGGTGTGGTTGTCTCCGTCTGATGAAGACAGGGACTTGTATCCGCTATCTACCGACGCGCTTGTTCTTTGGCTCGCACCACTACTAGTAGGTATGGTAGGTGGCATGGCTGGACTATGAGGCTGCAGGGCACCGAGAGGGCGTTTTGGTACATCGTAAGCGAGATATGATAGACATCGTGCAGCAAGGTGGCCATGGACGCTGCTTGTATCGCAAAGACTGAACTCTGAGCCTTGAGATATTGGGTTGAGAAGGTAATCGCGTATGGATTTGTGGGTGAAAGCGATCTCGTCGTTGACAATGCAGAGAAGACCACATGTCAGTTCTGGCAAGGCTTGTATGATATCGGTCGTATGTGGACCCTCGGGAACGTCGGGTCTGTGTGTGTTTAGGGCAGCGTGTAGTGCCCCCGGACACATGCGGTTGATTGGGAAAGACAACCATCGGAATGCGTCGGTGATGACGCGTTTTTCTGTCGGCGAATGGCGCGCTAATGCATCAAACATGATACGGAATAGCGCTTCCAGGCCCTGTATTGAATGCATTCCCTGGAGAATATTCAGTCGCTCGTCCGACGACAATAGCGGCGACTGAAGGAGTTTCAACAACATGTTGGCCCAGAGAAAATCGCCATCTGCCGTCCTCGCGACTTCCGACATGAGGCCTCGATCCATAGAGATACCGAAGAAGCCTTGATCTGCTAGGCGGTTCATTTCTGGTACTACAAATCGATCGATAGCAACAACGTTGTGTTGACCGGTAAGCGAGAGAATGTGAGGAGCATCTGAAGCCCATTTCTGGTACTCAAGAGGTATCTTCAGGTTCGGTCTGCTGAAGAGGATAGCTCTTGTGTCAGATCCACGACAGAGTCTTGCTAACGATGCGAGGAGCATATCGGTATCGCTGCACTCATCGATGCCATCAAATACAAGGAAAGTGGGGTGCTGCCGAAGTAGAAGCAGAAGAACATCGACTGCTTCATCAGTGGTGGCATGCTCTCGAAAGGACGTTTTCCGCAATAAGAGGCTGACAGTGTCCAAAGTCGATCGGTCGTGCCGACGAGCGTGAAGCAGCTGGCATGCCATAGCCCGGAAAGCATCATCAGGTTGATTATTCTCAGATAGGAGATGATTGAAATGGTAGCTTGCAGTGGCTGGCGGTTCGTCGCACAAATCAGGATCGTCCGCTTCACCAGCTAGATCTTCAACGACTGAACGCGAGATGACGGTTTTTCCAAAGCCAGATTTCGCTGAGTTCTTGTCAGTTTATAGAAGATTTGTATTATGCGCGCGGCGACTTACCCTGCACAAACAGCACGCGATGTTGCCAGCTGCCGACTAAAGCTTCCTGGTCATTTGCCGTGCTGCTATCAAAGCGCTGACTCCTCCATTGGGTGTATGCGGCAACGCGTAAGAGCCAAGCGCAGGACTCTTGACAAGTTTGTTGAGTGCCTAGAGACCTCGTGGCAATCGCGGTAGAAGACGACAGCCAATGCTGTACCTTCTCCACTCTCCTCAACCGCTTTGCAAGCCGTTGTTCGTCTTGCTCCACACGACCGTTGACCATGACTCCGTTTTGACGCTGCAAAAAGTCGATATAACTTCTGCGGTGCTGTGAGATGTCTGCGTAGTATTGAGTCTGGTCCGCGGTTTCTGCTTCTAACCACCTCCTGTGCTGGCCTAGCCGTGTTTCAAGGTGGGCAAATCGGGAATCGAAGGGTCGCCATAGTGTCTCACCGTGGAGGACGTTCGTACCACTAATGGATGTACTTTGTGCACCGCGACAGAAGATACAATATAGCTCCAAGAACAGCTGTACAAGATCCGCGTATACGTAAGACAGAAGTGCAGCCAGATGACGATCTTCAGTCTCGCCATGGGACTCGGCTCCGTTTCGCTTGCAGATGTTGTAAACTTCCTGATAAGGTGGTATGATTTGCGAAATAGCTTCAAGTACATCGGCAATTTTCTCCATGAAAAGCACACAGTCGCCGCTCATCTGCTTCCGGGTTAATCCAAGATGTGTGTCAAATGTACTACATGCATACCTTGAAGACCAATCGAACAGTTGCCCAGAACCAGCCTGCCCATGCTGACTGCAATTTGATACACGTGCCAAGGACATCGAAGTAGGGTGCATAGGTGCGAATGAACAATGTAAACTTTCGACTGCAGACGACTAGTCTTCGGTCTGCCGACCCATTGCCAGCGGATGTACGACGGAGCTCTTCAAGCAGAAGTGTTGAGCTGATATGGTGATCGAAATGCTGACGATGTTCTTGCAGTATGGTGTTGTGTATTGCTTCTATGGCGTCATCAAAGAATGGATGGTCCAAGCTATACATTGTTAGCTATAGCCAGGCCACCAGTGGTAGACGAACCTCGAATCCACCATTGCTACGTCCATGTTTTGAGCCTAGGGCGACAGTTCTTTGATGGAATCGAACTTGAGCGCAGGCGTCTTCTCTGTAACAAATGCATTGGCACAAGATATTGAAATGCAGGTTGAACAATTCAGAGCGACGGCCACGTTGTAAAGGCATGGAAGCGACAGGGGCAGCGGTGTGTTAATGTAATAAGCATTCAACGTGCTCGCTCTGATGGGACTCAAGCGAGAGCAATTACGGCCCTGCATGGAGCCACGGGAGAAGAAATGGGCGTCGTGGGGCTGAAAGGTTGCGGGAGATAAGCGGGATGTGTAAGAACATGGTGAGTGACTACCCGTCGCCACGCATGTCATGCCCCGGACACAAGGGAATTGACAGGCGTGGGGGAGCAGGCTTGAAAACGTGGGCGAGACGACAGGCCCATGCGACAAGTCGCAAGTGGCAGATCGGAGCTGCATGCCGACGGGCGGGTAATCCCTTGTTTGTAATGAGTAAAAGAAACTCAAAAACAACGTCTTTCAAGCGAGGCGTGGATCATGAACGAATAACATCTTGGGTATCTCCTCCAACGAGCTACATAGTCAACTGCTCGGCGCAACGGGTCTATAGTACAAAAAGTATTAGAAAGCGAGGTACTAGAGCGAATGCCACTAAAACTGTGGCTACCTGACTAGGCGGATGCGGGCATGCCGAGCCGAAGCGCAAGCAGCGCACGCACGTCGGTGACATACTGCAAGCCTTCGAGCAGCGGGATAAGATGCAGCAGATCGTGGTCTGTTGGGTCGCTAATCCAGCCTTCGATGGGAATGGCATTGTCTAGATGCACAATCAGTACGAGCGGATGTGGGCGCACTGGGCCGAAGGTGAGCTTACCAGGATGGAAGACGTAGCTCAAGGGGCTGTTATCAAGAATCATAACTTTGCTGAGATCGGGCTCAACCTGAGCAAGGTCCTTGATATAAGCCCCGTTGCGAACAGTGCAGTGCTGTCGATAGTACCTGCCTGCAAAATACTTGCGCTCCACCTCCAGCCAGTCGATGACGGGATCTGCGTATTCCTGTACCGAGGCGGTGAATATGATCAGATTGTACCACTTACTAACCTGGTCGTTTCGTTAGTGTGACATCAGGCGTGCCTGGCTGGTGTGCGTACCTTTTTCAGAAAATCGTCGCAATACGGCCGTTTGTGAACATAGTATAAGAGCGGCACCTGGGGACCAATGACCTGTCCGTCGGCGCCGACGGATGCCTGGAGCTTGACCTCTACCATGTGGCCGGTCTGGAAGCGACCGCCGTTGACTATGCTGTGGATCAAGGTCTCATCGAGATCGATGATGAGTGTCTTCTGGTGCGGGCCGACAGCGGATACGCCTTTAGCGGAGTACGAGGGCTGGCGGCGTGGCACGAGGGGGCGCGGGGGTTGGGGCGCTCGTGGGAACTTGGTCAATTGTTTCGAAGACGCGGTTGCCGGCCCAGTGGGGGACTTGAGGGAAGCGGCAGCCTCGGAGGAAACGGAATTACTTTTGGACGACTGGGCCTTCTTCGCTGCCTTGCGTTGCCTCAAAGCGTCCTCGTTGTGATGTAGCGTGATGCGTATCGACCGCTTGGCCGGGGCGATTTCGTCTGCTCGTGCGGTTGCGCTCGATTTGGAGCGGGTATGGCGCGACGGGCTGTCGGTGTCTGGGTCGCGTGAAGGAGATCGCTCGCTCTCCGAGTCGGACGTCATGGCGGTCGAGGTTGATGCTATTGACAGTGACCGTCTCGTGGGTTGTTTCATGACGGGCTGCGCGACACTCGAACTGCGACTCTTGCGCGTGCCTTTCTCGCTACGGTCCGGGGCAGCCGAGGCTCGTGAAGCGTGCGCCGCGACCTTTTTCCGACGTCCGCGAGTGAATGTCCGCGAGATGTGGTAGATCGGGGCGAGAAAGGAGAAGTGGCCATCCTCGTCGTAGTAGAAGGCGGCCACCAGACATTGCCCCGTATAGACAAAGGGGGTTGCGAGGACGCCCACCACCGCGACGATGCCGTCGGATATGCGCGACGGATACAGCCATCTCCTTCGCCGCTTGGTGTCTTCGTAGGGGCCCTTCTGGGTTTGCTCGAGTAGAGGTGTCTTTTCGTCGTATCCGGATGCGACCGCTTCCGTATTCGAGGAGCCGGAGCCGGAGCCGTCACTCCTGTCGGCGCCCATCTTGCGCGTCTCTCTCTGTGCAGCTATTGCACTCGCATCGTCAGCGGGAGATGAGATCGAGGGCCGAGGTTGGAGAATGGCGAAGGACTGTGGGGTAGCCTGCGTGCTGGGTGCGCGGATGCTTATGTCTAGGCAGCCGGTAGGACCTCCGTGGCCGTGACGGTGGGACTATTGGGACGAATGTACACGGCGGCAGCACAGTCAAGATGCTCGTCCAGCACTGACGAAACTAGCAACAGGCCGAGGCGTGACTTTGTCGAGAGAAGACGGTTATGCAGCTAAGCAGAAGGTTGGGGACATGCCAATGACGAACCGCTGGAGAGCCCGTGCCCAATCGGAACGCCGAAAGCTCAATCTAGTTATACGACTCACACATTCCCTCCACCAAGACTTGAACAAGCAACTGTCCCCAACAGTGCGTAACAAACAAAACGCGCGTGGCCGATACTTCGAACCCTTAAAATTATACTGGTCGTCCGGAACCCCTTTCAAACGCACACAGACACCCGCAGAGTCATCCAGGAACAACCCCACCACCCCACATAACTGCCATATACCGTTCGAAATCTTGGGACTCTCGAGTACAAATCTGCAAATTCTCCCACTATGCAGGGCGCGACGATACAGGCGCCGGGTCTGTCGACCTACCTGAAGTCACTGAAGAGTACTCCAGTGGATGCCTCGGTGGAGCATTTCATCTCGTGAGATACGACTTTCCGCGCAGTAGCGCAACCACAACTAATATCCCTACCTCAGACTTCTCAAACGGCGACAAATACGGAACTCGAGACCATGCGCCATTGCGACGACGGCCCTTCTTCTGCGCGTAGTGGGCGAGTTCAAGGGCAGGGATGCCGCCAAGCTCATTGAGCGCATAAAGCAAGTCGGCAGGCGGTTGACATCGGCGCAACCACGAGAGGTGGTTGTAGGAAACATCGTACGGCGCGTACTGGGTCTGGTACGCGAGGTGGTCGACGAGCATGCCGAAGGGCAAACACCAACCGGCAGCGAACCCGGCTATTCGACACCACAAGCACACGCGCATCACGACTCCCTCCACAGACCAGCGCTCAACTCGAGCATGTCTACATTCAGCCCCCTTCGGCATGCCGTTGCCGAGCCCATGCCCACGAGCGTCTTCACCGATAACGCCTCCGACGTTAGTGAACCCTCGAGACGGCCCCCGTTACTCACCTCACACACCTCGTACGCGCCTACCTCGTCCGCTCCTCTCGTCCACTCGCTCTTTGGCCTCTTCTCCCAGCCAGCAGATACACCCTCAACTACAAGCACCCCTACAGGGCAGGCGTCGCCAAACGGCAAGAGCACGCTGACGGCACTCAATCTGGAGCGCCTCGAGGGCATCAACAAGAGCCAAAACCTGGACCTGAAGGGCGAGGTTATGGAGGGCATAAGGGAACTTCAGGACGAGCTCGAAACCTCAGACAAGCAGATTGCCGAAGTCGCCCTCGAGCACATCCACGCCAACGAAATCATCCTCACCCACACCGCGTCCACCACAGTCCAGAAGTTCCTTCTGTTCGCCGCACGAAAACGCAAGTTCACAGTCGTGCACGCCGAGACGTATCCCCACGACCACACTGCCACGCATGGCATTCTTCTTACAGGCAAGAAACGAGAGGCGAATCCAGATGACGATGAGGACGACGACAAGTGGAAGCCCCTCACCGATGCTGGTATCCAAGTCTACGTCATACCAGACTCCCATGTCTTCGCCATAATGTCCCGCGTCAACAAGGTCATTCTGGCGACCCATACCGTATTAGCCAACGGTGGTCTAGTAGCCGCAGCTGGAGCACACATGATTGCAAAGGCTGCAAAGGAACACCAGACACCTGTTGTCGTGCTCAGTGGTGTATACAAGCTCAGCCCGGTCTACCCATTCGACATCGACGAGCTGATCGAGCACGGTGACGCCGGAAGTGTAGTTCCCTATGACGACGGCGAGTTCGTCGACAAGGTCGATGTTGAGAATCCACTGTACGATTATGTTCCCGCAGACCTTGTGGATCTCTACATCACCAACCTGTAAGTCGCGATTTGAACAGCTCGATGCATTGAATGTAAGCTAACGTCTTCTAGTGGCGGACACGCACCTTCATACCTCTACCGCATCGTAGCAGACCACTACCGCACCGAGGACATCACCTTGTAATTCAACAATGAGCCACGGCGTTATGATACCAACAAAAGTTAAGATGGGAAGCAAAGTGCGCACAATAGCCCATGTTACATCATCTAGAGAAGGAAACTCTGCGCTTGCGATATGCAGTGGCCAAAACCAATGAACATTACTACAAACTTATTGCCCATGCAGCTCAGAGCACGTATGCGACCATCCTCATCATTACCGACCCGTGCCGTTCGCCCTCTGCCCGACCAACTAACACCTCCTACACACCCTTCTTCCCAATTGGTCGCGCCTTCGTGCCCTTCTGCAAGCACCCGTATCCCGCAGATCACCGACCAATTCATTGGTCACCTAACCTCTAGCAGTGTGCCCTTCGGCCATCTGAAATCAATGGTTTTTGTCAAAATTACCACGTTGGGCAGTTTGACGGTCCGTCAAGGTGGGCCGGCGGGGCGGAAGGGCACAGTGGCGTTCTTAGTAAACAAGCACGCAGTCGCGATGCCCTTCGAGCCCTTACGCGTGGGACGTTTTCTTTTGTTGAGCTTTGGCCGTAGGCGCAGACACACCTCATACCCAAAGCGCCTGATTGATTAGGCTAGTTCGTAGAAGCTGGTCCATCGTTCTTCGCGTGTTCTAGCTCCAGCTCCTTCGAGCTGGGGTGTGCGGAAGAGGGGTTGATACCTAGGTATCACAACCCCCTCACGCAGGCTCAACTGAGCCTCGCTATCGCCATCTGCACTCAGGATTACGTGTGCACATCCATCTCGATTGCGCGCGGAGAAATCACAGTATGCGACAAGTGATGGCCATTACCCTCTTTGGAAGCTCCTCAAGGTGATAACGTAGGGCTTATCGTGGGTGCCGGGTCGGCTGTTGCTACATTACGTATGCGGGCGCGCATCTTGTGGAGCTGAGTTGATAGAGTGACAGCCTGAACTTGAACACCTGGCCGCAGAAGCAGTGAAGGCCTCGTCAAGGTGCATCATGTCGTTTCTCGAACTTGGGGGGCTGCATGTGTTTGTTACTGGGGCCGCCGGAGGAATTGGTAGTGCGATTGTAGATGAGTTCCTAGGTATGTAATGGTCTTGTGTCTTTGATAATTGTCAGAGAGTCTTGCATATCGAGTGAAATTCGCAGGGTCCATGGTAGACTCAGGGTCTTTGTCAAGTCACCCTGCGGTGGAAAGCGCGCTCCAGGGTTTCGGCCTACAAGACAAGCACTCAACGCCATCATCTTGATTGATGTTTTCGCTCTCACCCAATCGTAACTAACGCCTGCATAGCACAAGGGTGTAAAGTCACTGCACACGATCTTCGCCCAAATCCTCTCGCTTCAACGAACCCCAACCTCTACTGCCTTCAAGGCGACATCAGCTCCGAAGCCTCCATTCAGAGTTCGATCTCCCAAGCCATCAGCCATTTCTCGCAGCCTATAAGCATCCTCTGCGCCAACGCAGGCATTACAGATGAATCCTCTAGCTATCCTATCTGGGATATGCCCAGCGAGCTCTGGGATCGCACCTACGCCGTAAACGTGCGTGGTACGTACCTGACCATCAAGCACTTTCTCAAATCCGTTGAGAAGTTGCAAAATGATACCGGCAAGGAGGTGGAAAATGTCAGTGTCGTGGTGACAGGGTCGGAGTGTGGAGTCTTCGGTCAGGCAGGTCATGTGGAGTATGCGAGTGGGAAAGCAGGGCTACAATACGGTCTTGTGAAGACAGTGAAGAACGAGATTGTCAGATTGAACAAGAGCGCAAGAATCAATGCTGTGGCGCCTGGGTGGGTCGACACGGAGTTGATTGAAGGGAGGTTGGACGACCCAGGAGAGATGTGGAGGGAGGCGGAGGCTACGTGAGTCTGACGCTCATACTGAGTCTCCGATATCTTATTAACGATTGCAGTGTACCGCTCCGAAAAATCGCTCAACCGACCGACGTAGCGAGAGCAGCTGCTTTCCTGGCAAGTCATCGCGCTGCAGGTCATATCTCCGGACAATGTATATCTGTGGATGGCGGTATGGAAGGTCGTATCGTGTGGTCCGAGGACGAAGTTCGCAAATCACAGGCCACTGCTGTCGAGCCCGAAACACCATCTCTCAACGCGACTGGCGAGGCCGAGATATTCGGTACCGCAACCGAAGGAGTCTCTCTAGCTAGTAGAACCCCCTCAGCAATGGCTATCCCGACAATGGCGTCTCTCGGCAGCCCTCAATCAATACAGAAGCCGAAGATCAAGATCTTACTTTCCGTGGATTTTGACGCAGTATCGGGCTGGCTTGGTACTGGCCAACACCCCGATAATAACCTCGCGGACTACAGTACTGGCTTCTTCAGTGGCCATGTCGGAGTTCCACGACTACTCAAGCTCTTCGCAAAGCACGGCATCGCGAACAAAGTAACCTGGTTTGTGCCGATGCATAGTGCAGAATCCTTCCCAGAAGAGTTTGCCGCCATCAAGAGCAGCGGCGCGGAGATAGGCTTACACGGTTATTGCCACGAAGGCGCCCCTCAGCTTACGCCCACCCAAGAACGCGAAGTTCTCGAGCATTGTATAAGTCTTTATCAGGAACTATTAGGGAAGCGTCCACTGGGATATCGCGCACCGCTCTACCAACTCCGCGAGAGTACCGTGGAATTGCTAGAAGAGTACTCTTTCCTCTATGACTCCTCGCTCTCCCACCACGACAGCAAACCCTACTACCTCCCTAACCTCCCACCCATCAAAGCGCCAAAGTACACCGAAGAGGCTTCCGCGAAAGACTGGATGAAACCTCTGCCTAAACCCAGTGCGCCCACAACCAAAACTCTCGTTGAGATTCCGGCAAATTGGTACACGGAAGATATGACGCCTCTCCAGTATCTTCCCAATGCACCAAACTCGCACGGCTACGTCGACGTTCGCGTTATGGAGAATATGTGGAAGGACAAGTTTGAGTGGATCAGGAGCGAAATGCTTGAGAGTAATGGAGAGAAAGATGTAGTGGTATTCCCGTTAGTCTTACATCCAGATACCAGTGGTATGGCGCATGTCATCGGCATGGTTGAGAGGGTGATCAAGTGGCTGAAGGCGTGGGAAGGAGACGTGGAGTTCTGCACTTATGAGGAGGCGGCTGGGGAATGGAAGGGGAAGAATGCTGCAGAATGAAATGGGACGCATTATAATCCCCAACTCATCTACTATACACTCTTTTCGTCATACAGTCTAATCACCCGTCCACCCTGCTCCGCCGCTTCCTCCCATGGCTCATCACCACCAACTCCCATACTCTTGACGTTCAGCGTAATTAGGCTAGAGCGAAAGTCCGATCGTGCAGTCAGTCTAGGCGCTGTCTGTACACTGTCGTAGCCCTCGGATGGCGTCACAAGAATCACGGTTTTGTCCTCGAGTGTCTGCTCATCCATTATGACGAACTCCGTGCCTACGATGCCATGCTCGGCGCCGTCGAATTGCCACGCGAACTTGACGAGATCGTCCAGGTTCCAGCCTAGGAACGGGTATGAGAGGTCTTGTTGCACTGGGGCGTGTGTGGGTGATGTGAGTTTGGTGACGTCGGTCGTGTCGACGAGGATGGCTGGGTGGTATGGATCAGCATGCCTTTCGTTCGAGGGTGTGCTAGATCCGTTTACCTACGTGAGTGCATTCCACGGCCTTCAGCTCGGGCGCATCGAACGCCTCAATGAAAAACTCGTCAAGAAGCTGAGAATGATGTCAGTTACTCGCATTTTTTGGGAGAATGGATCGGGGTTATAACATCGCGTGGTATCTTTGCTGTGCAAAATATGGGGATAGTGTTATCCAGTTGATCGTTGTTCGCCATAGTACGTGCTGCTACAGGTTTGGATTCACATGAACTCGATCAGTTCCGGCTTCGCTCTTCTGTCTGCCTGATCTATATCTTTGACAGTCAAAAAGCCACTCTAGAACTTCTGAGAAAGAAAGGCGATGTGTGTTTGTGTGTAGTGGATTACAGTTGTTGCTACCTAGGTGCTAGGTACTGCTGATGGCTTTAGCCTGAAGTCAAACGATCGTGTAGCATGTGATCATCCATCGCCGCTATCATGCTCTCGTCAGATGTTTTTTATAACCAAGGCAATCTACATTTGCGTGAGCTAATAAGAAACTAGGTAAGATTAGGTGCTCAGCTACAACAAAATTTGGACAGTGCACGTGTCTTCGCATTTGCTTAATCAGGAAAATCTTACGTACTTCTCTGCACCGGCTCAAATATCAGGCCATCTACCCAAGACGCTGCCCTGAAATTCGACCTGAATGTGAATGCGAAGATCCTTCTTTCCAAAAGCCAGCTTAAGAGTGTCGGCGATTTCATGGTCGCTGAATTGCGAACAGGGTTCGCCCTCATCAATACAATACACTGCGAGAACATGCTTCAGTGATGGTAAAAATCCAGTGTACATGTGATCTCCAAATAGCTTCCCTAGAGACTCGCCATTATAGATATCTGCGAAATAGCACCATCGCTCCACCTCTAGACCGGGCATCTGAATCGACTGGATTGAGTTCCAAGGCTCTAAGTTGAGAACAATATTGCCCTCTTTTATATCATCGAGCACAAAGGTGCTGATATCGAACACGGCCATTGTGTGGAAAGTTGAAGATGCTTCGTGGCGAAGTTGGCGACAGGTAGACAGTAGCGCTAGAGCTCCTCGGTGATTGCGAGCAAGAGCGTCTGGACGCGGCCTTCTCATGCGGACTTGAGTATCTGAGCACACGTAGTCGTAGATCTTATTGCGGAGTTCGGCGGGGAGACGAAGTAGAGGTGAATCGCGCTGGTTCTTGGTGGTCCTGGGAGATCAGTAAAGGAAGAACCCCGGGATTTGATCTGCTTACTTGTCCTCGAAGACACCAAGATATCTCATGACGCTATCGACATCCATGATTGTGGATTGGTTTGGGAGTTACGTGTTGGTCGGCACGTCTAAAGGTCGAGAAGTGTAGGACCTGGGTGGAGACGAGCAAACAGAGCTAGCGCAAAGACAGGAAGCCTCACCTTGATTATCTGGACCACAGTCACAACATCGGGCAAGTACAGGCGATGAATCAGAAGCGAGTAGATTGACAGAAATGACGATTTTGTCTTATTGGAAGTTCGCTCTAGCGTCGTTGCATAAACAAAATCTAGACCTTCACACGACACAATGATCGGAGACCATGAATACGTTGCCGTAGTGATGAGAGCTCATAGTAATGCAATACAAGATGCTCTAACGATGGCCTCAAGATTCCAATAAGATCATATGTTCACCTTCACACGATATTATCAAGTAGGCTACCATGGAATAGTTCTCGTGTTCGCGATACATCTTTCTCGAAGAGACCTGATGAGTTGGGTGTAATGTATAAATTTCGGAAGTCGTGACTCGCTCTGGCACTGCAATACCATAGCATGGAGTTTTCTACGGAATCCGGCCCGTAAATGTCGAACTAGCCATAGCAAAACAGTCATATGCCTACCAAAGTACTGTTCAGACGTCTTACTCATCTGTAGTTTGCCATAGTGATATCAAAACCTAGCGAGAGATGGATAAACCGCCTCACATTAGGTGCAAGCTCCTCTTTCCACTCTTTCCACTGATGATCGTCACCCCTGACTGCATGCAGTGCGCACTTTTCGACCTCTCTCTTGAGAGGATCAGAGAGCCTACTGACGACGTTATTCGCGGCAAGCGTCCAAGCGGTGGGGCTGTAATGGTATGTCTCATAAGCATACTCGATTTCGACGCATAATCTTGCCAGAGACGCACGAGGTAGACTTCGGATGAACAAGAGTGAGGGTTGGTACTCGCTATCGCAGAACTCGTCGCATGGCGGGACTTTGAGTTTCATTTGGATCTTAAGTTGCCGCAATGCAACCATGCGTGGGAAGAGATCAATCAGTGCTTTGTACTGCTCGGTTTCTGCGTCGAAATGCAGAGTCTCGGTCAAGCCTTCCGTTTGGCGAAGATTTACTACCGTTAGATTCACTACTGAAAGGAATCTCGCGCGGGTAAGTGTGGGGGCGTGGCGTATCTTGACCCGTCGCGTGACGCCTTTGACGTGAGGAAACTTGTAGCGCATGTCCAGGTCCATGTTGAAGCGAGCCAGATGATAAAACTGCTCGGTGGCCTCTTGGTACATCTGCTTGCTCGCGCGCATCCACGGAATTTGTGCTTTATAAGTATCTACAATAGGTCCCTTATGAATATGATGCGTTGCTCTTACCTGAGTCTTACCGTGCATAAAAGCAGCGCTGAGATTTCCGAGTGCGTAGCGATAGATCTCATCTCTGATCTCGCGTGGAAGGAACTCAAAGAACTGACACTGCGTATCTTGTAGACTACCAGCATCGGTAGGACCTCTGGAGGCGAGGGCTTCGTTTTGAGGAGTGAGGTGGCAACTGGATTTCCCGTCGCTACATACGTCGCTCAGCATACTTAGGGTGTCGTCGAGGTAGGTAGGATGAGCGATGCATATCAGCTCTCGTGTGCTCGGCAAGCGTTGGAGTTCCAGGGGCATGTTGTGCTTCGAGGTAGTTGAGGAGGAGGGATATTCCTGCGAAAGAAGCGTATTAGGGCCGAAGCAACTAAGATAAGTAAAACCCAAGCGATGGTGATGGAGAAGACAGAGCTTCCACCAGGACAAGAGATTAGACCGAGTTTATAGTTCAGCTTCTGTACGAAGCCCCAGGCTACAGTCCCAAAAACCGGCTCGAGATTTTCGCAATTGCTGTTGCTATATGGAACGCGATATCTGGATCAATCAGGCGCCAGCTAGGCCTCGTCGGAGGCACGTGAGACCGCGGTTCGTTGGCGGAGAAGATCTCGAGAGACCTCTAAAGGTTGAGCCGCCCATGATGGATCGGAATTTACCGTAGCCGAAGATCCATATAACACAGGTAGAGAATTGGAGACGTTGCTGTCATGGTTGCAAAGTCGAGTGATACAGTCGAAGATGAGGCATGCAGGTCCAGGGCGCTAATCCCAGGGTCCAGGTCCAGATCTCCCCCACAAACGTCGTCATCCGTTCCGCCGACCTAAACAGTCCAACAACCCGGTTGCCTTGCCGCACGCGCGCAGGCAGCCACGAAAGGCCACCTTTCAATCACCCGATTTCTGTGAATATAATCTCGTCTGACCCTTTCCCTCACAATATACACAAACGTCCACCAATCCTCCAAATCTCGCACCAACTCGCGCAGAAGACGCAGAAAAAGATGGAGAAACTCAAGGAAGCCGAGACAGTAGCAGCGCACCGCCTGCGCAAGACGTTCAAGTACCCGTCCGAATCCGATGATGAAGATACCGTAGAAGCGGGTATGGATGAGCAAGGTACCCTTTCCCCTCCTCCATGCCTAATCCCCGCCTTGCTGACAGAACTACACAGACCGCGCAGCCCTCCTCCAGACCCTTAGCACGCACGACACATCCACGACGCACAAATATACGCTCTTCCTCCTCGCGCTACCGTTACTCCCCACACTCCTCTACATCCCGCGGCTCTTCGCCCTGTCCACCCTCCCGACAAGTCTAGTCTCTATAGCGAGCCTGCTAGCAACGGCGTATACATTATATTTCCTGCCACTACCGCCGACGCAAATGGAGCCAATCGATGGTGTGGACGTCACACCCTCGACACTCCAACAGCCATTGAAAGGGAAGGGGCAGGCCAAGAAACCTTTAGGTGGATATGGAATCTACAATAAGACACCATCATGGGAACAACCGACTGAGAAGAGTGTAAGGCGGCCTGTACCGTACATCTCGGAAGAGGCAGCGGATAAGATAGCGGACTCTATTGTGCCAATCAACAGGGCCGTGTGTGGGCTATTGGCGCTGTATGAAGTCTGGCAGGCGCGTGGCTGGGGTGAAGGGCTCATGGTGGGAGGCGGCTTCTTGCCGGGCGTGATATGCATGATCATTCTGTGGGCAAGGACGGAGTTGAGGATTATCGACATGGATGCGTTGGAGAAGATGAACAAGGGTGCAGCACAGGGGAAAGCAAACTGAATACAGATAAGCTGTGAGTTTTGGAGTTAAGTCATGGGACGGTCACCACTAAGATACCCAGCGAGGAATGCGTAATGAGTCTCCTAGCTATAATAACGATATCATTAGGTTGTATGTATAGGTGAATGAATATGTCCGTGATCAACGTCATGTCATGTCGAATGCAAAAGTCCAACGCTGCGCTGTGCTATGCTGAGCTGTACCAAAGATGCCAAACCAACGCCGCGCTCGCTGAAAGTTACAGATTCCAAATTTCTCTTTTTGCGTAGCCAGCACTCGGCGTGTTATGGGCTAGCTTCTAGGACTTCAATGTCCGAGTCCATGTCTATGCGTGTAATGTGCTCGAAGAGGTTTGAAGTTGATGGAAGAGGTTCCTAACCACGCTTCCAGAACTGGTACTTCTTCTTCTGCGGCTTCTCGTTCGCTTCGCCGGCGACCATGTTGGTGTCCCTGATGCCGCCTGCCTCTGTACCAGCAGCGTCCATGTGGTACGCCTTCTCGTTTCCTCTCTTCTTGCCCTTCTTGACATCTCTCCTTGAGGCGCAGCAGCAGCAAAGCCCCATCTGTACGAGCCAGGCAAAGATGGCGAAAGCACTTGCCACCCACATGAAGGCGAAGAGGGTGGTGCCTATCTCTGCCGAGATGTTTAGCTCAGCCACACCACCGATAGTGTTGCGGAAGATGATGAACATGACGGTTGCGATGACCGAGGCGACGGTTACGAAGAGGGCGTTGAGGAAGGCGAGGATTGCGACGAGGAGAGTCAGCCAGCGTGTGTAGATGGAGATGGGCATGACGAAGATGAGGACGAAGGACAAGACTGTTGCGGTGAGGAAGAGACCGAACATCCAGTTGGAGACAAGATGAATAAGGTCGAGAATGTCGTTGATATCGGCGGGAAGGTTGACTGTAGACATGCATGTTAGTTACTCTGTTTCCAATGCATGACATCTAAGACTCGAGATGTGAAGCAACTTACTCGAAGCCCCGGCAAGAAGCTCATTACGCAGGATTTGCACAGGGTTGAACCAGTATAGCGTCTTTGGCTCACTGCAGAAAGTCACGCCCTCACCCGCGTATCCCTCGCAGAAACCCCATAGCCCAACTTGATAGAAATCATGCAGTCCGAGCGTTTGCGCAATAGTGTTGATAAGGGCGAAATTCGGTACGCTGGCAGGCACGATATGGCTCAAGTCAAGGCGGATGAAGTACCAATCCCTAATAACGGCCTTGTTGCGTACACCGGAGATGTTGACAAGGATCAGGAAGATGAGTGTGATGAAGAGGAAGAACGATGTGATCAGCGCCCATATTTTGCGTGTGCGAGTTGCGCGCTTGATTTGCTCTTTGCTGAGGTCTGGGGCGGTTTGCGTGACGGCGGTGTCGTCCGACTTGCGGCGGCGCGAGAAGATGCCCATGGTGGACGACTTGGGGATTTCCAGGCGTCGAAAGGGAGAAGAAGCAAGGCGTGCTGCAGCGGAGGATTGTGAGAGAAGAAAGTGAACAAGCAATGGCAGGGTCTCAGACGAACGACGTAGAGAGCGCAGATCCGAAACGTTTCGTCGATTGAATGTCCAGGCCAAGAATGCCTTGAATCCGGGGCAACGCAATCTCCTACGCGCGTGCAGCAGCAGCAGTCGTGTATTTTATGGAGCCTGGTCGAAGATCGCGAGCTATGACGTACGGGACCCCTAACAGCAAAACTAGACACCGCAAGAAGGCGCTGGCGACGCGGCGCCCTTCTCACCAACGACACACATCGGCACTAGCCCACGCGCCTAAGACGCCAGAGGGCAAATCATCGGTCTGGACATTGCGCGCGACTGAAGCACCGGCGTGGCGCACGTTTGCTATGAACATGGTCTGGCCGGTACGCGCGTGCGTGGCTGGTCATGACGTCGCGCTGGGCACTGTTTACTGGTGACCTTTGGGGGTGGAGTTGGCTACTGTGTGGCTGTGCAAGCCCTACTGTGGAGTGGATAAAATGGAGGGCAATGTATGTAAGAGTGAGATTTGCGCGGGTAATAGAGGAGCGGCGTCGATGATCTACGTGGATAATTCTCTCGACGATGGCGCAGGCGGATGCGGAAGGATGCGAAATTGCGCTAGGCTTCGGATCTGCGCGGCCAGCCACCTGGGCAGCAGAGGGGCATCGCAGGTTCCACACTATTGCATTGCATAGCTCGACGTTGAGGCTCCTTACTAGACAAAAACGTGTTCACTAGTTACGTCTAATGCACAACATCACGCGTGGCCAGTCTAATGCGCTTGAAGTAATGTTTCTTCTTTCCATTCCTCTATGTGCTCCGCTAGATGTTCCACAATCACTCAAGCCTCCACGGTCTCCAAACCACCAAGCTGCCTCTACGTCTCAACTTCGCCATCTCGCAGCAACGCAGAAGAATAAAAATTAGACATTGGTAAACGCCAGTCCATCGCTAAACCGCCCTAAAAACGAGTAATCTGCCGGTCGTTCGTTGCACAACCGCGATGGAGAAAAATAGGAAAGCGTACTAGACAGACCGTCTGTACAGGTTGTTGCTGTGATGTGAAGACGGAGAGTAGCCAACGCGCGCTGTGTCTATGCCACGATACCAAGGAAATCATCAGGGCCGCTGAAAAGCATTGTATAGAGAAGAAGTCGACATGATATGAGCTTTTAATGTTCGGTCGAGTGTGCGGAAAGCTCAGCCAGCGAGCCGCTATGTCTGTCATCAAAGATGTGTGCTGAGGAAGTCGCGACTAGTTTAGGCGCCCTCTACCATGTTCATCCTGGGTTTTAATTGCACCATGAAGTCATCCTTGGTACCCAAAACGTCCCTTGGTATCCTGCTGACGCGGTTGGCTCCGCTGCGAACAGCAAATCGGCCGACTGCCGAGATACCAGAGTGATTTGATCGGATTGAGCCAGCATCTGAGGCACCGCCACCAGCAGGGTCACGTATACGAGCAGGTGGTGCGAAATCGAGTGCAGTGAAGGTACCCGACTTGCGCATCAAGTAGGGACTGGGTAGCGCTGGCAGTTCGTCGTAGGATCCGACGAGGGGGGTGTGTGGTCGTACGGCCGGGCTGTAAGGCCTGGGAGTTCCAAGAGGGCTGTCAGGTCGCATGCCGTTTTGCCTCTCGCGGAACGAGACTGGCGGTGCAAAGTCGGCGGCGTCAAAGACCATGGAGCTTTCGGTAAGCTTAGCGGGTGTTGGGAGAGAGGACAAAGCAGATGGAGGAGGCAACGGCTTCTTCATTGGCGGGGGCAAGCGTCCGCTCATTGAAGACATGCCACGCGGGGGAGGATATTGTGAGGAGGCCATGGAGCTGTTCGACATGTGCGGGCCACGAGGACCAGTGGCAGTGTTGCTTCGGAACCGGGGAGGAGCACGTGGGGGAGGAGTCATGGCACGACGAGTGATGGGCTCAGCGAAAGGAGCGTTCGGCTGAGCGACAACGAAGGCACCGGTGCGAGGGTCGAAGACAGTGCCGTCTTGGTACTCCGAGCCGTAGTCTTCAACGTAA